AGATAGAAGGCTCCAGGTAGGAAATATGAGAAGCTGAATTCATGATTGAGATTTTGAAAAACTGTGAAGATGAGGTAGGGTTAACTCAAGAAATTTAAAAGGTGAATCTATTTTATCTTGATTTTAGGAACATTCTGTTTTCAATAACACAGGAAGCACAATGTTAGATCCAAAGAGCAGGTATGATAGTCCTTATCCCAAGTACTATGGTTACATAAGGAACAATATTTTGAGAGAGAATCAGCCACTAATAACCAGGGACTGTCCTGACACTCTCAGGTAGGTCAAGATCTCCATTCAGAACATGAACTATCTCACCCAACACCAATATCAAAAAAGACCTTGGTGATTCTGATTGAGCAAGATGAAAATAAAATTACTCCATGGTTGAGCACAAGCCAAAATAAGAATATTGTTCAAACCAGGACAATGACCAAAGACCTCCACTTCCTTGCAAATATGAGTGAATGTTGCTTTTTCACCAATTATACTTTCATTTCACCTTGTTCTCCTCAATTCCTCAATGAAATTTAGTGAAATAGCTAATCATACCTTTCTTTCCCATTTTCTTAAAGCATCTAATCCAGAGCTAACCCTTACTTCCTTAAACCCTTTCCAAAATTTCCTATCACAAACTCAAATCCTAGAACTCCTTTATAAGTAGTACAAAAGTAATCCTGTTACTAAGGTGATCCACAGTTTCCTATTTTCTACAGTTTTCATTACTACAATGAGTCAGTAACCCAAACTTTGTTTTGATAAAATGTGTTCTTGGTAATCTTTGATTGTAGGGAATTATAATTTATATTGTCACAAAAAGTAAATTTCAAATACGTATTTTCAGTTTCTAAAACATATCTATAGAAAAGACGTGTTTAAAGACAGAGGGAGATTGTAAAATATAAGGGAGACATTATGAAAGAAAGAATAAGAATGTCTGCATTTTATTCATACAAAAAATCAGTGAGGCTATTGTTAATTGATAATAAATGGACTTTTCAATTTGACAAGAGAAGTACCTAAAATAATAATATAGGCTATATGAATAACAAATAATTGAAGGGTTTTTTTAGTTCAGTACCCAGAAATCATAACAATAAATTGTCTAAAGAAAAAAGTTTGAAAAATTCTTACTCATACAGTTTGTAGGATTGCCATAACAAATGCATCAGGATGGGTGGCTTAACCGACAGGTATTTATTTTCTCACAGTTCTGGAGGATGTAAGTCTAAGGTCAAGGTGTTGTCAGGATTTTTAAATTCTGAAGACTCTCTCCTTTCCTGTAGATGATGATCTTATTCCAGCAACTTGACATGATCATCTCTGTGCAACATGTATCTGTCTTTTCTTCATGTCCTAATTTACTTTTATAAAGAGACCAGTTTTATTGGTTTAGGGCCTACACAAACCACCCAATATTAATGTAATTCTCTCTTTGTAGGCCCCATATCTGAACAAGGTCACATTCTGAGGTAGTAGGACTTCAGATTTCATATGGCAGGGATGGGAGCTCAATTCAACCCAAAACAATTATAAATATATTAACTAATATTAAGGAAGTAAATGTTATAAGATTTTTTTAAAGTATTTGAAAGTGCTAATGGACTAAAATTTTAAAAACAGACAATACCACAAGTTGACAAAAATAAGAAGGAATAGGTACATCCACACATTGTCAATAGTGTAAACGGCTCAACCAATTTGGGAAATAACCACTAACTGAATATGTGTCTACTACATGAGCAGCAATTCTACCCACCCCCCAGGTGTACATGTCCAAAAGAACTTCATATATTCATCTTGTCAAAAGATATGTACAAGAACATTCAGAGCAGTGTTATTTATAATCTTCAGACCTTACACCAAATCATATATCCATCTAGAGGATAATTAATAAATTTTGGCATACTCATAGAGTGAAGTACAATACAGCAATGAGAAGGAAATATTTAACAGCAGCAATAGGAATAAATTTCATAAATATTGAGTGAAAGCAACTAGACACAAAGCAGTTTATACTCTATTATTCCATTTATATAAATTTAAATGAGGCAAAACTATGCTGTGGAAAGTCAGCATATTGGTTTATACTTGGGTTAGCAGTGACCATAAGGAGTCCTTTGCAAAGAGTGCAGTACAAATTTTTCATTTCCTCAGGTTTCTGGTGCTATTTGCTTTGTGGAAATACACCAAGCTGAATATTATATTTTCTTTAATTAATTTGCTATACTGCAATTAAAAAGTTTATTCAAAAAATTTAGACAATGGGGCTTAGAGCTGGAAGAGAAGAGTAGATATTGTTGTATTTTTATTATGTTTCTCACATCCTGGACTTGAAATCATATATATATATATATTTTTTCCTTTGAAAATCATTAAAGTGAATAAAACATTATTCCATTTAGCATAAAAATCCTTAGAGTGGGATGAAACAGAATGAGTGGGACATCAGAAAAATACATTTAAGAGTTGAATTGATTAAGACAGTTTATAATGAGAAATATTTTAAAAAAGGAAAAAATATCAGGAAAAATAAACCCATGTACAAATTTGGAATGGCAGTGTATAATAATGCAATAAAGTAAAATTCATTTTCCCCAAATCAGACAAGATAAACTTCAAATAACAAATGGAAGGCAAATCAAACCTATATCTTAAAGAGAATGTTTCCTCCATGACCTACTCAAACTTTTAATCCGAAAAATGGGTAATGATAGAGAATACCACGACATAAAATCAGATATCTAAGGAAACCAACATACTACAGAAAATTAGCATTTTACTAGTTTTCTTCTCTAGCGCTCTGAGGAGGTAGGATTGGATATACAGGCTTCAGGAACTTGAAATCGCTATTCCCAGAGTCTCTGGTCAAAAAAACCTCATACTGGTAGCTCTGGGACAGGGTCCCTGTACCACTGACATCCACCAAGTGGCCAGGAAAGTGACCCTCAGGCATAGAATAGACACCCTGCGAGTCCACCCTGCGCCTCCTGCACACTCTCACCACCACGAACACCAGCACAGAGAAGAGGAAGAGAGATGACACCGAAGCCAAGGCGATGACCAAGTAGACAGTGAGAGAGTCCCTCTGCGCGCGCTCTGGCGCCTCTTCAGGGAGCGGCAGGAAGGGCTGGGAGAAGCCATCCACCAGCAGCACGTGCAGCGTGACACTGGCAGACAGCGGAGGCTCGCCATTGTCCTTGACCAGCACCACCAGCCTGTGCCTGGCC